AGTGAAGCTATTCGCTCGTTCCAAAGTGTAGATTCCGATGGAGAAGAACGAGCAAGAAACTCCATGGTTACTCTTTTAAAATCAGTGTCACATAAACATTCTTTGATACATTATTTAGTTAGTTTGAATATGTGAGAACAGTGTAACGCGTGTATAAAGAGAAACATAAAAAGAAAATAACCTTAAGGACAATAGACAGTCCGGAGCTGACCAGTCCCAATTGACGGCGCCCGTTCACGAGCATGACACGTACACCAGCATCGCCCAACTCAACCATAATATAGGGAATCGAGCGATCCAGTGACCGTGCCACCGCCAATGTGACCTTTGAGTGAGCATGACAACTCCAAGCTGACATATGGACCGACCTTCTGCTAGTCTAACTAATTTTAATAGGTTACAGGGCACTCACATTTACAAATTTATCAAGTTTAACAATAAAAGTAGCATGGTTACAAATTTACAAAATCTAAGAACTTCCGTTCAAGCAATGATCCACTGGAACATTATTTATATTCGTGTAGGTATATTATCCTGTGGAGCAGGACCAGCCCGTCTCCAAGCATCCTTATCCTCAATATAATCACTCAGTTTGTAATATGCTTTTTTACACAAAGTTTTCTTTATACATAATTTAAAATTTCTTTCATTTAATTGTTGTATTTCGCCTGGGATTTTGTTATAACACTTAACGCTGAATCCCATGAACGACTTGTGTACCTTTGCCAATCTAAATAATGGCTGACACAATCTATCTCTATGTCTAGTTTGGTAATTATGTCTGTCTGATACATTATCAAATAATATTAAGTGTTTCCTAACATACATTATATTTTCATAAATAAACTGACCGGGCACAGTCATAATATTGATCTCTTTAAATTTATCTCTAAGAGATTCGCGAAGCCTTAGGTTGTAAATTGCTCTGATTGCACGCTTTTGCAAGACAAATATAGACTCAATGTCAGCAGCCTGTCCCCACAACAAGATGCCATACGACATAATGCTATGAAAGTAGCTGAAGTACACCAGTCTTGCAGTGTCCACATCTGTTAGCTGTCGGATCTTCCAGACAGCAAATGCTGCAGAACTCAACCGTCCTGCCAGAGATGTGATATGGGGCCCCCATTGTAGTTTTTCATCTATGGTTATACCCAGAAAAGTAGTCTGTTTTACAAATTCCAATTTCTTGCCGTTTAATAATATGTCACATTCGTTACTTTTTACATTTGGTAAACTGAATCGTATACACTTTGTCTTTTTGTCGTTTAGAACTAAATTATTAACTGTAAACCAGTTATGAACCTTCGTAATAGCATTACTACTGCCGTGCGATTAGTTATGCTATTGTACTTAGTAAGAAGCAAAGCCAAGTTTGAAATACCAAAACATGGTAAACGTTAGGTATGTTTTCACTACCTTCATAAATTTTCAATATGCGCATAGTTCATACAAATTTTGTTCGATATTTATTGTTAATTTTGTTTGGTACATTCCGGCTATTAAGATATTGTGAAATCGTATCCTAAAAATAATAATACATGTTACTGGTTCTTTTGCTATATGAAGAAATGGTTATTAATGTTTCTTGCTTGTTAGGAATCACTTTGAAACGAGCAAATAGCTTCGCGTTAAAGAGTAAAGTATGCTTTGAAATCATTGTACTGGAAAAATACACAAAATTTATTTATTGTTTCGTGGCCAGCCGGCGATTTAGTTCGCCAAACGTCACTTGGTAGCGCAACCAAGTTTACACCTAGAAATGCTGCACCATACAAAAGTATACATTTTGTTAATCACGTGACCAGGTCGTAGCGCATATTATCCTAATGAAACAGGGATTTAAAAAGTATTTACAATGTAATTAGTGCTGTAGGGCGGTACACCTAATTCTTTAGACGATGGCAAAACTTTCCCAGGTATTAAATTAAGGAACTCCGAAACATTATTTGAACCTTAATTACATACGTGCGAAAGAGATGGAGTTATTCAGGTTAGATGCAGCGTCTCGTTCTTGTATTGAGATGGTATGTAATATCTTTTGAAATTAATTTTTGGAACGAAAAGTTATTCGTTCCAATAAATTCACACAAAGTGAAGATATTTTTGATTTATGGTCCCATTCGGAGGTCTAAATGTTTTTCAAAAACAATCGTCCAACTAACTAATGTGAAATTAATCACAAAACTTTGTGAAAAGACCAAAAACCTTCAAGTAATTTTTATTGAATGGCTCCGATGCAATTTATTAAGCCATTAAATGCAGAAGCTGTTACGGGGGAACATTTTAAAGTTTTCATTTTTCAATGAAGTGCTATTTCAGTTACACTCATAAGAGACGTACTTTATTGCCCAAGTTCAGACTAGCGAAGGAATTATATTGATTCGATGATAAAACCAATTTATCGTTCTGAACCAATTACTGATGTACTTTGTAATACACATATATGTGTTCTTGAACTTAATCAATAATAATGTGTTCGTGATAATGCTTCATCGTTTTAAGCAATCACCAAAAATCTAAGTGAAATGATTACATTTTTAAGGTTTCGTACCACAGAAAGAAAAAGCGGAACCCTTATAGGATCACCTTATTGTTCAGCCGTGTTTTTATTTTTCTTGAACGATTGTTAATAGTTATTATCAGGGAAGATTATTTTGGAAAAAACAAATTCTTAAGTTGTTCACAAATTCTTGTGAGAGCTATGCTTCGGCCACGAAAGGCGTGATAGCACGGTCTTACATAATTTCGACGTGAGACAACGCTTGCATTGCGTTTTGTTGTATGAGTAAGGTAAAAGTAAAGGAGTAAATGCTCAATTCTTCCACTATTCCCATCTTTTTTATTTTGAATCCTCAAATCCCTATGGTGTTGATGTTGTTCATGGGTGATGTCAATAAACTACCATCAAGTGATATAGTACGTTTGACAACGCCAAAAAACAAAAATAAAACATTTTTTTTAACAAAATGAATAGATAAGTACTGTTTACCTCACCTTTTATTAAAAGAAAAAAATTAATGAGGCAAAAATTTTAATAAAAAAAATAATAGAACAAAACAATAAATTGTGATAAACTCAATTCTGGTAGTGATTTAACAGTGACTCGGCGAAGCAAACTAAAAAAACATCCAAAGTACAAGCACGCAACTCGATCATAAATCCCTTTGTGACGCGTCATCATGTCGTGAATAGGAGTTATGGAGTTTTCCATCTGATACCATCATAATTTATTGACAAACCTAGTACGAACATAAAAGTAAACAGTTTTCTTACAGTTCAAAATATAATCCAGAGTACTAATGTTAATAATAAAAAACTGAATTTCATATCGACTACACTAATATATGCATAACATATTATAGGCAAAAGAAATTGGAAAACTGGTATTCACATTTCTAACCTTTCAATCGTGGCAACACGAGACACAATAGAAGAATAATAGGTGCGCGAACGCTGGCGTTCGCTTGGGGTTTGATGAATTAATATATTACCTACAACCTTACTACACTTTTCAAGTATGTATGGCCTTACCTATTAGGTATAGATTTTCTAAAATAAGGTCAGAAACCCTTAAGACAAAGCAGAATATAATCTTAAAAACTCAATAAAGGTCAATAGCCTACTTGTACTTAACGTGCCTGCGCATCTTCAACAAAAATAAACAACTAGAGAGATGTCGGAACAAACACGAATCAAGCCGTCAAAGTTGTGAAGCAGGTACCAACGTGCAGTACCCGGCGATAAATATTGCACGTCGAATTCTAAAAAGAGTATTTTATGTAATACTAGCTGTTTCCAGGGGCTTGACCAAATAAATCGTGCCCTATGTGATATTTTATTCCTATTATTGTTATATTTTTTTATTAATATGCCGATATTCATAAAAACTCATTCTGTAGTTTAAACAAGAAAAAGTTACAAATGACATATTCATAGGAAAAGGTTACTGGTTTCAAGTCACATCGGGACTCTTATTGAATCTTTTTTATTTAAAATAGCTTATTTGGTGGCAACGTCGTGCAACCGACGAACCGACTTCTCTTATTTAATTCATACAATTAAGTCGTTATCTTACTTATATTATAAATGCGAAAGTTATGATGTTTGAATGTTTGTTACTCAATCACACCAAAACAACTGAACGGATCTGGATGAAATTTGGCACAGGCATAGGATACACTCTGGAATAGGGAATAGGCTACGTTTTATCGATATACCAAGCGAGCGAAGCCGCGAGCAAAAGCAATTTCACGAATACTAGACACGAAAAAAATCAATAGATAATTTATACAAGATTTATTTCTTTGTGCTCGACAAGATTTAGCTTATATTATGAACACTAAACGCAGTGATTTGGCAGATTGTCTCTTTCCAAAGATTAATGAGCGATATTTATCGCCAGGTACTGTACCGTTTGTACGATGCGAGTTTTATAAAACTTTGATTTCAGTTGAAGCGTCGTTTACAACTTAGGCTTGTTCTTCCTTTTGATGTACAACTTCTAAATACTATTTACTTTTACTCCCAAAACAACTTCGCAGACTTAAATCAATGTTTGGGCTGAAAAGCCGGCAAATGTAAAGAATCAACTCGTAGGTAATTGGAGATTGGGTGTGGTCTTATAATATTTTGTCAATAGTTACTTTCAGAGATACTTTTTCATATAAATGTAATCTAATCAATAAATGAAAGTATGATTTTATGTAAAAAATAATTGTATTTAAAAGTCTATATAATTTATTTTTGCCTCATAAAGCAAACCAATTATGGGCAATAATAACAATAAAAAAATGTATGCCACTACCAAAATTTATTGTTAATACATTGTTAAAAACAAATCTCGAGAAAAGCTGAGCCGATGTGGCAATGTTTCATTTGCATTCGCTAATGTCGGGAAAATCGGAAACAAGCTGTCCATTCGTTGTAGTGGCGGCTCGCTAACAAAATATATAAATGACACAGAGGTAGTTGTACGAGTCGCTAGTTTGATATGAAATATGTATAACCTATATAAACCTTCCCCTTTGGGATTTAAAGGTATGACGCAGTGTATGTTATGTATCTGTAATACAACTATGTGGGTACTATTTCATTTATTTTTAGTCCCATTATTCTACCTTTCAGCGCAGCTTTCCCATATACAACTTCTACACCCAACTCACGTTTTTCATTCAAACAAATATATTTTGTTTAGTTTTTGGGTCTCAAATAACATTCAGCTTTTGTACAAGAAACATCACGGACCCTCGAAAAAAACATTTTTAATCTCCCAGCGCTGACTCACACATACAAACACAGACATTTTATTGAAAATCCCAAAAACTTTTGTACGTATATAAAAGAAATCCTTATCAACTTTACGAATGAATAGAAAAATATACGTGTTCATTTTTATTTGAATAACTTTTGAATCTGTTTACAAAAGGAGACGTTTCTCTGTATTTTTATTCAAGTAATGTGTAGAACAGTACGCTTGTTATTCGGCTAACATCTAAACAGAAGTCTTTTATAGTTCAAATACTTTTTAAGTCAAAATTTCAATAATAACTAATGTTATTAAAGTGTAGTAGTGTGGTTTTGTCTTTTCTTCACGATGTTTGAGACCACATTATTTCCTTTAATCAAATGTATCACATCATTGACGTAAATGGACTAGTTAGGTACGCAAGATACACAAAAACGAAATATTGCATTGAAATTTTTAAGATACATACTGTGTTTCGCATTTGTTTATAGCATAAATAAATGAAAACATTAATCATCACAAATCCCCATATTTTTACCCTTATTTTTATCTTTACATTACATTTATAAACATCACGTGTACAATGTCATAAAATACATTGTTGTCACAATATTTAACGGCGACCCCGAGGTCGTGCTTCACTGCAGCTCCCGGTTAATGCATATCACGCGAAACTTGACCGTTTTATGTTTTGAACTCTGGCCAAGGTCGTAAATTTGAAACGCGATGTGTATATTGCTATAATAATATTATTAAATATTTTATATAAAAATCTCTTGGCTTATCTTGATTGTAGGTAGATAATGATATTATATAATATAAACCTTCCTTAGTTCTGAACTACTGTAATTAATCAAATAAATCCGACATTCCAAGTCCTTGAAATGAAAACATATGTACATTCTTAAGGAAAACCAAATGACTAAGCAAATTCTAAAAATAATATCCATTTCAAGATGTTTTCAATTCACAAGAACCTTTACAAGTAAGCACAAATAAATCGAGCATGATTTTCATATTTATTTCCGCTGAATGGCTACGAGATTTGCTACGGCGGCGTAGCGTTCGTAGCAATCGCTATGTGAGCTACGCAGTAACGTCAGAGTGTACCTTAAGTATACCTTTTACGCCAAACCCATTAGGTTTGTGAAGCAAGAGTAACTGAGTAAAAAGCTAAAACGGTACGTGAACAATAAAAATGACCTCTTGTTCTTAATGCGATGCGTTGAGCTGGAAATATGGTAATGTGTCGCCCGTCATCCTCCATCCATGCGCGCTCCTTCCCATACATTATTCATACCCACCCCCTTTAATTTCACCGCACAAAACAATTATTACTACACGCTCTCAACTTTTCCTTTCCGTCTGACTGGTAATGTAATATCTGAGATATGTTATTTCCATAACATTTCAACTAACTACTGTACTATTATATTGTCAAAACAATAAAGACGTTATTAACAGCAGCCATTTTGAAAATTTGCATAACTCGGCACTACGAAGAGATAACGTTTCAATAATACAAACGGTATTCAATTGGAATGCGCTGAGAGTATTGAATAAAACAGGAGATACCAGTATAAACCGGTTTAAGCCGGGATGCACCGATCCAACTCTTCCATTGATACGTATTTGCATTTAGTAGATTAATATTTGGATGCTGCTTTGAAGGATTATAGGAAAGGCACTGATCACTTTTCGTCAGGTAATATAAATGGTCGTTCACCTCTAACCCATAAAAAATTAAGGTTAAAAGAAATTCAATGAAGATATTTTCTGCTTAAATTAATGAGTTACCGTTTTCTCACTAGATATCGCCAGTGTAGCCTGCTGGTATTTTCGTCCAAAGGGAAATTAGCTAGTGTGAAACCGTTCGACGTTAAATTTTTGACAGTTACAATGATTGGCTTGGCTTACATATTGCTAGATTAGCGCCATCTGGCGGGTTAAACTAGTGTTGTCTTAACTACATTTGCATTCAAATTATAGTAATTGATTGATATGATTGATAATTGTAACTGAAATAATACGGTAGTTGGAAACATTTTTTTTTCAAATTCAATTTTTCTCATCGATAGTTCAAAGACGCTGCTATTCTACGTTTTGCAGGAGACAACAAGCCTACCTATCACGTTATCATACTTCTGTGTCAGATAGCATACATTTTCATATAAATATTTTATAAACATAGGTACGCGCAAGAAAAACTCGATTATCGTCAAAGAAATTGTAAGTGTGTAAAGTCAAAATAATTTTACCTATAAAATTGCTTAACTCTGTATCCTTAGTACAGTTCGATTAATACATGTTCAATTTTTATAAAAATACAGACAAATAAAATGAGCTCGGGATTACTTCAAACTTTAAAAAGGTTTTTATCCAACCAATGCATACAGCAACAAACAAAAATATTAATCTCTCGGTATACCAACAAAAACACAGCAAACAAAACCTTTTTCATCCTAACTAATATTATAAATGCGAAAGTAACTCTGTCTGTCTGTCTGTCTGTTACGCTTTCCCGCTTAAACCTCGCAACCGATTTTAATGAAATTTGGTACAGACAATCTTTGGACCCTGAGACAGAACATAGGGTACTTTTTTTTTCGAAAAACAGGGATAAAGGGGTTGAAATAGGGGTTAAAAGTTTGTATGGGATTTCTAAATTTTTAAAGATAAAACTATAAAACTTAATATTTAAGCACTTGATAAGAAAATAAGAAATATTTGTTCTAGCATTTTTGAAATTTCGACCAGCTAGGGGGTGAAACAAGGGTTGAAAGTTAGTATGCAATTTCGTCAAATATCACGTCATAAGAAACAAAAAACCGTTTGTACTAGCATTTTGAACATTTTATCAGTGTGATATGTAGTGAAATAGGGGATGAATTGAAGATAACACCCGGAACGGATTCGGAACGGGATCTACAAAGCCAACCTTTATGTAGGTATACGAAATCTTAACTATTGAACCTAGGAAGATGTAATTTAGAAGGGTTTTGGGTGTATCAAGTTAATAGTTCACTTTCGAAGTATAAATTCCTTTTAATGAACACTCTGCATCGCCGTCGCTGCCGTCGGCGTCGCGCACATTCGCCGAAGTGCGGCGCGGCGCTGTCGTGTGGTGGGGAAGCGCACGAATCTAACTATGTCTACCCCAACGGACAGACACGTGAGGACAGAGGTCGTTGTCGGGTGTGATAAGAGAAATTTGCGCTTTAGAGAATTACATTTTTCGATCCACTAAAATTATTTTATTGTTTCGTCTAACTTTTTTAAGTGTTTTTTATTAATTAGATCCTGTAAATAAATTTTGCACATACTTAATATTTCTTTTAGTTCATAGTTACAACGTTACAAGTAGGTAAGATAGTTTCCGTTACTTTAAATAAATACGATTTGCTTTTATTTCCTTTTTTATTCAATTAATCTATTAGCATCCTACTTTTTTGCATTGGTTGTAAATAAGTACTTATCCAAGTAGGTGCAGGTAGGGTGAACAAAGGTTTTTTAATATAATAAATCTTAATCTGTACATCTGTTTTGTTCGATTCATTTCATTTTTGTTGTTCTAAGATGCCTCGCAAACGAAAGTCCAATTTAGCTAAAAGCTCTAGCATAGCTCGGGCTGCTAAACTTGCCAGATCACTGGAATAAGACTTCTCGACAGACCCAAGCTCGCCAAGCCATTGATGCCGAGCGTCACGCGGCTCAAAGAGCTGCTGAGACCTCTCAACAGTCCCAAGCTCGCCAAATCATTTATGCCGAGCGTCACGCGGATCAAAGAGCTGCTGAGACTTCTCAACACACCCAAGCTCGCCAAATCTTAGATGCTGAGCATCAATCTTCGTACATAGCCGCAGAGACCTCCGAAGAAACACGTAGACGACGTTTCATTAATGCCGTAAAGGAGACGTACGTTTACGATGAATACGTGGGAAGCATTTGCTGATGCTGCTTTTAATTATGATCTGTTACTTGATTACTTTAATCATCGATTAGTCCTCATAGATAGAATGGCCAATAAATGCAGACACTGTAAGGCACTCAAGTGGAAGGAAGAGACCCTAGGTATGTGCTGTTCTGGAGGCAAAGTATCGTCACGCTTGGTGACTCCGAGGAGCAACGACAGAAGAAAGGACAGCAATGAATCTCGGCGATTTTTCCTGTCATCATGCCTGGATTTTCACCCACATTTACGGTACAAGGGCAAGTTTATCATAGGACCTTTGCTTTCCACAAACAATGCTCAACCAAAATTTCTATAGATATATTTTATGGGAGACGAAAAGTTACGAGGGACATTGTTTTAAAAATTCAAAGAATGTTGCACGAACATAATAACCTCATTAACACCTTCAAAACAGCCTTAGAAAAAATGCCACGGGAAAATCACAAATTAGTAATACTCGCAGATCGTACGCCAAGCGGGGAACATGAAAGACGTAATAATGCACCCTTATTAAACGAAGTCGCTGCCATGGTGTGTGGCTAACAGTTCGCATCGCGCGATATTGTTTTTCAAACCCATGATAACACATTGATCAGGATGTCCGACACACACAAGTTTTATGACGCACTACAATACCCGCTTATGTTTAGCAATGAGCAAGAGGGGTACCGTTTTCAAATTCCACAAGAAGTGTGGAATTTGAAAATGGTACTCCTGGGCTGGCCCCTGTAAGAGTCTCTTAGACATAAGGGACCAGGATTGACAAAAACTAATATGACGCGGGCGAAGCCGCGGGCGGAAGCTAGTGTTAAATAAATCAAAAAGCTTTAGGTATACAACAAAATGTCTAGAACTATTTCTCAATCTTCAGTGACGTCTTTAAACAAGACTTTTTGCTTTGAGATTTATTCAAAGCCTTAATTGAAGTCTTGTTACAACGATATCATAGCGTGACTGAGATTAATGTTGACAAATTAATCGCGATTAATCCATTGGAATAAATGAAATAATAATTTGTCTCAAAATGGAGAATTCCTGTTCAATGAAAAGTTAAATGAAACAGTACAATAAATTCATTTTCTTTTGTTTTCAGATAGATTAATGAGGAATTCCAATTCATTATTTGATAATAGTTAGTATTTAATTGTTTTAGGGCTGATTTTGCAATAGTCTGATAAATTTTATCTGGGGAATAAAATTGTTGCTGTCACTGTCTTATACAAACATTCTGACGCGACAGCATCATAATTATTCCCTATATAACTTTTATCTTAGCATTGAAGAATCAGCCCTAAATGTGTTTAGGTATCTTATAATCCTTTGGGGTCACGGGCGCACTGTGTGGGAAATCTAGGCAGCCACGCAGTGACTTCAGGGAAGACGGTGGCAAAGAGGCCACGTGCCGCCGTGCACAGGGTGGCTTAAAGAGGTCACGTACCTCTCTATAAAGATGTGCCATAAAAGACGTTGCACCAAAGCGCCTCTGGAGTTGGTCTATCAAGAGGTTCCGTTAAGCCCCCGTTAGGTATTGATAGGGGCCCCCGGGGAGGTTTTAGTGAGGTAATTCCCGCACTTCCTAGTATTTTCCCCAAAAGCTAGGCGCCTTTTGAAGATATCCCCCGTCATATAAAATCTTATCAGACTACCATTTCTCTCAAAATGTCTTTATGAATTTCGGAAAAATTAAATTATTTAGTGGCTGGGAAACTGGCTGCTTCGCAAAGTGGTTCGACGCGGGTTCGACTCCTGCACGGAACAACACTTTGTGTGATCCACACAATGTTGTTTCGGATCAGGATCTTTGTGTGTGTGAATTTGTATGTTTGTAAACGCACCTAAGACTCACAAAAAAAAAAGACTAAGGAGGTTGCCCATCGTTGTTAAAAAAAGTTCCAGAAAGATTCACGTGAGAAGTCGCTACTTCCAATAAATTAAGCATATTTCACGTTAAAAGTGTGCAATGTTTCCTTTTTTAATAATAAAGTGACTTCACGTATTTTTTTATTGATTAGTTTAATTTTACTCATTTAATTACACTACTTGCGCAAATAAACAAGGAATAGAGTATTTTGCTAAGCAATTGAATCGTTTCTCGTACGATAAGACCACAACATTATACGAATACCATCGACCAGCGTATTTCTCTCAGTCTAGCAGTGGAAAAATATTGCTATCATATCTTCACCTGCCATAGATAAAGAACAAATAAAAGTGTACGTAAAGCATGTATGAAACAAAATGTTACATATACATCGAGATGACAAAGAAGTTTCGTATGCAGGCAATAAATTGACTCCTTGTTCAATACACAATATTGTGGACAAGCTATACTCACATTAATAACTATCGTGAGACATACTAGACTAAATGAACTAAAAATCGCGGGTTATTCACGTGTACATATTGAGAAAAGCTCTACTAGTTTCGAATCACAGAGGGGTTCTTCCTCATGAGCAGCGTGCGCGGACGCGGCGATGTCGCGCAGCCTACTGAAGGCTGCGCGTCCGCGCTTTTTTTAGTTGTTGAGATTTTTAGTTAATATTCTTACATTATCTATACTTCTATACTAATATTATAAAGAGGTAAAATTTGTAAGTTTGTATGTTTGTAAGTTTGTATGTAGGGGGTAATATTTGGAACCGCTGGTCGGATTGCCAAAATTCTGTCACTGATAGATAGCTACAATGTTCCTGAGTGCTATAGACTACAAAACATCACGCTTGGATTAAATGGGACAGAGCAGCGGGTAAAACCGCGCAAGAGTAGCTAGTCAATAATACATATTTTATACCAGCCGAGGTTATGGGGTGAGAGTGAGGTACCGCGGCTGCGGCCTGGAGTAGGAGAAGGAACGGGGTGCTTTTGTCTCAATAAGAGTCACACTGTCTGACACTCCTTCTCGAGAGAACCGAAAGAAGTCATTTGATTTTGATTTTCCCACCTCAAAACTAATAAAAGTGTTTTATATAATAATACTAGGTTTCTCTGCTTCTCATCAACTTAGTATGAAGTACTTATGTTTACTGCCCAGATGAAAATATTCCATCAGGTATTTCTTTAACGTTTATTTTACGCTCCTAAGTTAAAACATTAATATAGATTGTTCAACCTGTCAGTCAGAATTTATATCTATCTTTACAGACTTCCATTGAATTCTATTTATAAACGTTTACTGAATAATATAAAAAGAACAATAAAACAAAAATGGTGCCCTTTCATCTTTTTTTATTTACGTCAAAGCTTCGGACTTAGCATATTAAGCCAACAATTTTCGGCGAATTCACAGCCTTTTATAGTTCATACTGGATCTTCTTTGAGCGACTCTTTTTAAATCACATCCCTTTGTTTTGACTGAAGGCAAATTAGACAGATTGTTTTTTCAGTTGTTGTAATCAATGGTATTAAGCTTTTCGGGTTATTTTGTAATCTCAGTCTAAAATAGACTTCGAATGTTTTCGTGTTTTGTAATTTCGCCATTGCTCACCCAACAGCTCGTTTCAAGTTGCCTTGCTTATTTATTACTATAATTCTAGCAACCACTATGATTTCAAGATTAGTTAATTTTTTATTAATCATATATGTTCGAAACCTGGCAAGTACCAATGTGACTTTTTCCGAGTTATATGTACTTTCTATGATTATTTAGACACCACTGACATACGGTGAAGGTAAACGTCGTGAGGAAACCTGGACTTATAATTTCTAATTATAAGTTTGAAATCGCCAACCCGCATTGAGCAAGCGTGGTGATAAATGCCCTAACCTTCTCTGTATGAGAAGAGGCCTTTGCTCAGCAGTGGGCACTTATAGGCTGATGATGATAAGTACTAACCGTCATTTATAGCATAACTAGTAAACCGCCCCGCCTTCTCACGGGCGCAATGCTGATACTAAATTTCTTCACTATTTAGTAGATGTTACTAAACATACAAACTATGCTCTTCAGTTACTGTATTATTAAAAAAAAAACATTATTTAAATCCGTTGCGTAGTACTTAGTAAAGATTTAAACATAGGTACATGTTTAAATCTAAAGATTCTTTTTTTAAGAAAGCGACTTTGTTTTATACTATGTACCTAGTGATAATTATGAGATCCTATTTAAAATAGTATTTTTGTTACATTATAATTGTTAAACCAATTAAATTTAAGTATAGATATTGTTTTTTTTCTTAAGTAAAACCTTTTCAGACAAGTAGCAAAAAAATCTTCAGATAAGAACTATCTTTTATAAGAATAATTAATTAATTTAAAATATTATTATTATTTTATGAAATAATTTAACAAAATCCTTCTTAAAACGTTTTAACTATGCTTTTAACGTATCAATTGCAGAGTAAACGATTCGCTTGTCTACTCGACTACGGAAATGTTAAAACTTGATAATGTGAAAAGTAAGGCTTCGTTCAGATTTATTGCATTGATAAATTACCAAATTAACGGAATCTGGCCTATTCCGTTTAATTAGCAAAGTCCACAGAAATTCGGATTTATTACGGCACCCGGTGAAATTGCTCGTGGATATTTTTGAAACACGATTCTTCACCTACGTGCTTTTATTAATTTTAAGGCGTCAAATAAATTTTAATATGTATTTACAACAATGTTTTTTGAGATTAAAACGAATGGCATTCTATTTCATCTTTTATTATCTGTAACGTAATTTAAAGCGTGTACCTAACACATTTTGCGAAATGTCTAGATAAAACTTTCATTGGAAAAAAACGTCAGATATTTTATGATAACCTAAAGTTCGTTCCATAATTCGAGACAACAATTTGACAACTGCAAAAGTCAAACTACAAAATAATGTGGCCAGATTTTTTCACATAATGATGGGCCCGAGTCCGATGTTTTAAAATACCGATTCCGTTTTTTTAATAAATTACCTTGAGCAGAATAGAACAACGTTGCGATGATGTTTTTTATAGTTTAATCAAATCAATAACAATAATTTAAAATAAAATGCGAAATCTAAGACTGGCTAAAAGAAAAAATCA